TCTCTCTCTCTCTCTCTCTCTCTCTCTCTCTCTCTCTCTCTCTCTCTCTCTCTCTCTCTCTCTCTCTCTATCTATCTATCTATCTTTCTCTCTCTCTCTCCCCTTCTCTCTCTCGCTCGCCCGCTTGAGCACACGCGTGTTTTTTTTTTACTTTTCTAACATTAAAACGCCTCCATGGACAACGGATCAGATACGAAACTGAACGGACCAAATATTACGCTTGATCATGGGGGGGGGGGAAAGGGGGGGGGCGTAGTCGGTTAGACTGGGGTCTCTTTGCCGCTCTCTGTCCGCCTCTCCCGCTCTCTCTAGTCTCTCTCGCGCGTATGGCGTCGACGCTTTTTATATTACACTTGATCATTGGAAAGAAGAGGGGGGGGGGGGAGCATGTAATTAGTTCGATTGGGCTCTCTCTCTCTCTCTTCTTGTGCGCACCCGTTTAACCATGTCGATGGACCTCTCTCTCTCTCTCTCTCGCTTGAGCTCGACACTTGATCATGGGGGGGAAAGGGGGCGCGCGTAGTTTGTTAGATTGGGGTCTCTCTGTCCCCCTCTCCCCCTCTCTGTCCCCTTCTCTCTAGTCTCTCTCGCGTGTCTAGTGTGGATGCTTTTTATACTACACTTGAATGTTGGAAGAGGGCAGGGGGGGGGGCGAGGGGGAGCATGTAGTTAGTTCGATTGGGATCTCTCAATCTCTCTCGCCCCCTCCCCCCCTCCCGCATCTTGTGCACACGCGTTTAATCATGTCGATGGACCTCTCTCTCTCTCTCTCCCCCTCTCCCTCTTGTTCGTTCGCTTGAGCGCACACGTTTTTTTTTCCTTTTCGTAACGTTAAAACCCCTCGATGAACAACGGATCAGATACGAAACTGAACGAAGCAGATACTACGCTTGATCATGAGGGGGAAAGGGGGGTCGAAGAGTTGGTTAGATTGGGGTCTTTCTGTCCCCATCTATCCCCCTCTCTCTAGTGGCGTGGATGCTCTTCTTTTCTTTTTTTTTGTGAACAGTCTCGATGGACCATGGATCTGATATTACACTTGATCGTTTTTTTTTTTTTCGGGGGGGGGGGGGGGAAGGGGGGGTTGGGATAATTAGTTAGATTGGGGCCTCTCTCTCTCTCTCTCTCTCTCTCTCTCTCTCTCTCTCTCTCACACACACACACACACTCTCGCTCAGTCTCTAATCTCTCTCCCGCAACTTGCGCACACTTGCTTTTTCTTTCTTTTAATCGTCTCGTGAACCACGGATCTGATCGAAGCAGATACTGCACTTGATCGTGTGTGTGTGTGTGTGTGTGTGTGGGGGGGGGGG